ATGCCGTTGGTGATTCTGTTTTTAAAAATACTAACTAGCCCTAGCCGGCTTGGCTCAGTGGATAGAGTGTCGGCCTGTGGACTGAAGGGTTGCAGATTTAATTCCAGTCAGGGGCACATGCCTGGGTTGCGGGCTCGGTGCCCAGTGGGGGATGTGCAGGAGGCAGCCGATCAATGATTCTCATCATTGATTTTTCTTTTTTTAAAATATATTTTATTGTTTTTTTACAGAGAGGAAGGGAGAGGGATAGAGAGTCAGAAACATCAATCAGCTGCCTCCTGCACACCCCCTACTGGGGATGTGCCTGTAACCAAGGTACATGCCCTTGACCAGAGTCTAACCTGGGACCCTTCAGTCTGCAGGCTGACACTCTATCCACTGAGCCAAACCGGTTAGGGCTCATCATTGATGTTTCTATCTCTCCCTCTCCCTTCCTCTCTGAAATCAATAAAAATATATTAAAAAGATACTAACTAAAAAGAGATTTGAAAATTGGAGAAAGGTTTATCTCAGTAGGGCTTGACTAGGGGCTTAATAATATTCTACATTATGGCAACATAACCCAACTGAAATTTGTTCTCTACTCAACCAACAGCATAAATGCTTCTCTAAGTCAGGCTGGGAACAGCCACATGAAGCTGATTCCCTTTTCTCTCTCTCTTTTCCCCCTCTCTCCTTTAAATAAGTGGGATAGTAATATGAATTCATCATCATATTTCAGCTTTTATTCTCAAATCTATTTTAAAAGCCAGATTGGGCTCATGAAGAACTTCTACTTGCCCTAGCTGGCTTGGCTCAGTGGGTAGAGCGTCAGCCTGTGCACTGAGGGTCCTGGGTTTGATTCTGGTCAAGGGCACATGCCTGGGTTGTGGGCTTGATCCCCAATAGGGGTTATGCAGGAGGCAGCCAATCAATGATTCTCTCTCATCATTGATGTTTCTATTTCCCTCTTCCTCCCTCTCTGAAATCAACAAAGAAGAAAAAAAAAATATATATGAACTTCTACTTTAGCTTTAAAAAATCTGTCTAGGACAGTGGTTCTCAACCTCCCTAATGCCGCAACCCTTTAATACAGTTCCTCATGTTGTGGTGACCCCCAATTTCATTGTTACAAATTGAACATAATTAAAGCATAGTGATTAATCACAAAAACAATATGTAATTATATATGTGTTTTCCGATGGTCTTAGGTGACCCCTGTGAAAGGGTTGTTCGACCCCCAAAGGGGTCGCGACCCACAGGTTGAGAACCGCTGATCTAGGAGCTTTAAGAGAAAAATAGTTAAATAAGCATTTCCCCATTCTTATTTACTATCACTCTTTTCTCTCCTCTTTTCTTTGCATTTTTCCTTTCTGCCTCTATTTTCCTTTCATTCCTTTGAAGGATCTGATCAATATGCATTTATGTGCCTCCTTAAGAAAAGGTGACAGTTTATTTTGCAGCTGCCTCCTATTTGCAGTGTTCTTTAGATCCCACATATAAGTGAGATCATATGGTATTTGTCTTTTCTTTGACTGGCTTATTTCACTTAGCACAGTAATCTCCAATTCCATCCATGCTATTGCAAAAGGTAAGGTTTCCTTATTTTTTTTTACAGCCACATAGTATTTCATTGTGTAACAAAATAGAAACAGAGTCATGGATACATGGAACAGACTGACAGCTGTTAGAAAGAGGGGGCAGGGGGGTACTGAATGAAAGAAAGTGAAGGGATTAGCCAAAGAACATATATGCATAGCCCATAGACACAGATAACAGTGTGGTGATGGCCAGAAGGAAGCGGGGGCGGGGGCTGGGTGGAGGTGGGCAAAGGCAGGAAAATGGGGACAGCTATAACAGCAAGAAAGGAAGGAAGGAAGGGAGGGAGGGAGGGCGGGAGGGAGGAAAGAAAAGAAAGAAAAGGAAAGAAAGGAAGGAAGGAAGGAAGGAAGGAAGGAAGGAAGGAGGGAGGGAGGGAGGGAGGGAGGGAGGAAGGAAGGAAGGAAGGAAGGAAGGAAGGAAGGAAGGAAGGAAGGAAGGAAGGAAGGAAGGATGGAAGGAAGGAAGGAAGGAAGAAAAAGAAAGAAAGAAAGAAAGAAAGAAAGGTGAGAGAAAGAGGTATTGCTCTTGAGTCTCAGGTTCTTTGCTGTTACTGTTGCGGAGAGTAGGCTAATGATATGATATTACTAATGAAGGCTTGTCAGCTATCATTATGTTTTGTTGAGGGAACCTTGCCCCTGATAAGGTTTTCTAAAAGAAAGATAAACAGGGAAAGGAGAAAAGAAGAGCAACTGAGAGGCAGCAAGAATGTAGAAATGAACAGAAAGGAGAAGAAGAAAAGGACTTGGGACTTGGGGTACAGAAATGGGTAGGAAGGACCAAGAATACAGAGCTGCTAAAATAGGAAAATGGAAGTCAGCTCTAACATTTACCTTTACCCAGTCCAGTGTTTGGGCTTTCCCCTTTCAGTAGAGTGTACTGTGAGATAATGTGATTTGGGGTGAATGAGTTGGTCCCGTTCTTGACTCCTTGGATCCATCCACCCAGAACTGAAGAATTTACCCTGTAATAAGGTGACTTGATAGCCTGATCCTTGTAGGTTGGGTGGAAGAGGCTATTAAGTTATTTTTTTTTTAGATGACTATTAATAGTTATTTTTAACCTCCCATCTCAATCCTTTCATTGTTTATGCTCCTCCATTGGCTACCATGAGAGCAGTCAAAATTAGCAACTATATAAAATGAGGTACCTCTTATCTCCCCAGTCACTTCCAAAATAAACAGGGAGTAATACTGTCCATATTTTGTCTCACTTTACTCTGAAGGCTACTGATAGAGGAAGCATGGATTAGTGTGTAGTGATTTCTAGGCTCTGTCCTCTGGACAAATTCCCCTCTGAATGCTGTGGCTGAGTGACAGGACCATGTGGCAGGAGTGCAGCTGGAAGTATATCATTGGCAGATTTGGGTTGGGTAAATATAGCAGGAGCAGGATGTCAGTGTGGGAGATGGATTGTTCTGGGAAAGGAAGTGTTGTCTTTCGCCTGAGAAACAATTTCCTGCACTTCTGGGGCTCTTGCTTTCTCCTTCTTCTTCTTCTTCTTCTTCTTTGTTTTCAAGTCAGAATAGGAGTTGGCAAGGCTTGGGTATATTTGCCCTATTCTATCTCTGGGTGCCTGAGACATTTGAAGTTGGGAGTAGGTCTATTCCCAAATCTAGTTAAGAAATGGACCCAATAAAATAGCCATAACTATGCCTTACAGTTCACTTTTTACATTCTTAAATTAAAGCACATACCTGCATAGAGCCTCTTTTAAAAAATTAATCATTCTTTTAATAATACAGACAGGTTGAGAGACAAAAATAATTATACAAAGAAAATCAACTCTATTGAAAGTCAGACATGAGACACCAGCTGGCAGGAAACAGCTGGGATGCTTCTGGGGGCTAGACTCTTCCACACCAGAACTTAACTCTTCAAGTTATCTCTGTTATCTAAGCTACTTAAAATGGCTGTCTACTTACCAACAATCTACATAAAAAACTAAATATACTAAATTATGCGCTATTTTACAATTGACAAGGACTTTACAGTTTAGAAAGTGCTTTTGCATTTTTTTTTTATTTATTTTTTTTTACTTTTAAAAATAGCCTTTTTATTTTAGAATATATTTAGATTGATAGAGCCGAAACCGGTTTGGCTCAGTGGATAGAGCGTCGGCCTGCGGACTGAAAGGTCCCAGGTTCGATTCTGATCGGGGGCATGTGCCTGGGTTGCGGGCATATCCCCAGTAGGAGATGTGCAGGAGGCAGCTGATCGATGTTTCTCTCTCATCGATGTTTCTGACTCTCTATCTCTCTCCCTTCCTCTCTGTAAAAAATCAATAAAAAATATATTAAAAAAAAATAGATTGATAGAGAAGTTGTAAAGAAGTTTCCATGTTCCCCATACCAAGTTTTCCCTATTATTAACATTTTATTTTAGTATGGTACATTTGTCACAATTAATGAACCAATATTGATGTGTTGTATTAACTAAAGTTCTTACTTTATTAAAATTTTCTTGGTTTTCACATAATGGCCTTTTCCTGTTTAGGATTACATTTAGGATACTACATTATATTTAGTTGTTACGTCTACTTAGGCTTCTCTTGGCTGTGGCAGTTTACAGATATATTTTTCATTTAAATTTCATAACAACCTATAAAATAGAATGGACCTCTGTTGGTATCCTCCTTTTTATAGATAAAACTAAGGCTCTAGAAAGGTTAAGTGACATGTTCAAGGTTACATAGTTAGTAAAAGCTTCTCTATTAAAATGTGATTATAATATATGAAAAAGGCAGTGAGGTAACTATTCATTTGCTTTTGATGTGGATGAGGGCAGAACTGTAGCTAACTTTCGAGTGGAACATTTGCAGGAGAGGAGCAAGAGACAGAGGCGAATATAGCTTACTTTTTTCTGGACAATTCTATCTTACCTGAATACAAATTAATATTATTATTTTAATCATAACTCCATGGGGAATACCCTTTTCCTTTGTAATTCTGCTTTGTCTACCAAAGAAGCCAGTCCCAGAGAATCCTGGGCTGCCCATCTAGTTACCTTGTTTTCTAGCAGCATACTTCAGGCTACTTCACGGGTCACTGTTGTTAGACACCCAAGTTCAGTGGAAAGGCCCACTGAAAGCATGACATAAACACTAACATAACCAGGCTATTTTTGACATACGTGAAGGTAACTATCTGGGACAAAAGCACATGAGTTTTTGTTTGTTTGTTTTTCTATAGAGAACCCACAGTTCAGTTTTATTCAGAGCAAAGAAAAAAGATATTTTGATCATACTGGAAGAAACTCAGCCATAGGTTTGAAATCTGTACCCAAACTACACATGCAATGAAGACAATATTCTGCTAATACAGTTGATTTGCTGCTGCATTTGTCTACTGTTTGCCTAATATTAACAATTATAAACAGAGCAGTGGCAACTAGTATTTGGAACAATCCTTACAGTGTTACAGTGTCAGGCACAACTTTTCACTTTTCTTCACACCACTGGTTCTCTTTGTATACCTGGGCTTCCTCTTCTTCAGTAAAGTCATTTTTTTTTTTTACATTTATTTATTTATTTATTTAATTAAATCTTTATTGTTCAGATTATTACATTTGTTCCTCTTTTTTCCCCCCCATAACTCCCCTCCTCCCAGTTCCCGCCCCACCCTCCGCCCTCACTCCCCACCCACTGTCCTCATCCATAGGTGCACGATTTTTGTCCATTCTCTTCCCGCATCTCCCACACCCTTTTCCCCCCCAAGAATAGTCAGTCCATTCCCTTTCTATGTCCCTGAATCTATTATAATCACCAGTTCATTCTGTTCATTAGATTATTTATTCACTTGATTCTTAGATTCACTTGTTGATAGATGCATATTTGTTGTTCATAATTTGTATCTTTACCTTTTTCTTCCTCTTCCTCTTCTTAAAGGATACCTTTCAGCATTTCATATAATCCTGGTTTGGTGGTGATGAACTCCTTTAGCTTTTCCTTATCTGTGAAGCTCTTTATCTGACCTTCAATTCTGAATGATAGCTTTGCTGGATAAAGTAATCTTGGCTGTAGGTTCTTGGTATTCATCACTTTGAATATTTCTTGCCACTCCCTTCTGGCCTGCAAAGTTTCTGTTGAGAAATCAGCTGACAGTCGTATGGGTATTCCCTTGTAGGTAACTGAGTTTCTTTCTCTTGCTGTTTTTAAGATTCTCTCTTTATCTTTTGCTCTTGGCATTTTAATGATGATGTGTCTTGGTGTGGTCCTCTTTGGATTCCTTTTGTTTGGGGTTCTCCGCGCTTCTTGGACCTGTAAGTCCATTTCTTTCACCAGGTGGGGGAAGTTTTCTGTCAGTATTTCTTCAAATAGGTTTTCAATATCTTGCTCTCTCTCATCTTCTGGCACCCCTATAATTCTGATGTTGGTACGCTTGAAGCTGTCCCAGAGGCTCCTTACACTATCCTCGCATTTTTGGATTCTTTTTTCATTTTGCTTTTCCGGTTGGGTGTTTTTTGCTTCCTCGCATTTCAAATCATTGACTTGATTCTTGCGCTCCTCTGGTCTGCTGTCGGGAGTCTGTATAATATTCGTTATTTCAGTCCGTGTATGCTTAATTTCTATTTGGTTCCCCAATATAAGATCGAGGGTCTCATTAGTTTTCTTGTAGATCTCATTAAGTTTATCGGCGGCTTCTAAACAGTTCTTGAGAGACCTTAAAAGTGTGGTTCTGAACTCTGTATCTTCCATTGACAATTTTGTCCTGTTTCTTTGTCTCCGCATTTTGTTATGCTTCCTTGGTGCACCCCCTAGTGGTCTTTGTGCGCAGTCTTATAGTTAAACCTTGATTGTTGTAGCTAATACCAGGGAGGGTTTGACCTCCAGGCCAAATGGCTATGAGAATCAGCTGTGTCTGCAGTGAGAGAACTTCTGTCCTCTAGGGAGGTGCTAATCTAGCCTTTGCCTGAGGCTATCCGGCAAATGCCTCTGTGCAGGGCTTGGGCGGGGCGGGTCGCACTGGATCAACAGGGTGGGCCGGAGAGAGCAGTTATGGCGGCTCTCAGTCCTGTCCCCAGGGGCTCTGCCTCTCTGAGTCCCAGCACCCGCTGCAAACCTCGGAGAGAAAGCTGCACTTGCTCTGACCGAAGCCAGACAGTCCCGCTTCTCCTGTTTGAGTCTGGGTCCCTAAAGACTCGCCTGATCTGGAGCTCAGAGTCTGCGACTCCCTCCCGATTGAAAACGCCAACCGCGCCCTCCGCCGCCAGCCCGCTCCGCGTACTCCGCACCTCAGAATTTGCCTTCAGCACTGCGCCTCCTCTGAGTGTCCGTATGCGTTTCTCTTTCCTCCTAGTTGTAGGACTTCCACTCAGCCAGCGTTCCTGTGGTTCCGGGTGATGTCCGTTCAGTTTTTTAGTTTCACTTTTGAAGTAGTTGTTCAAGGCAGCAAACTCCAGCGTTAACCTATGCCGCCATCTTGGTTCTCCTGAGTGGTTCTTCTAAAGTCATTTTTTATATTGAAGGTCTTGCGAATCTCTTCAGGGGTTTTCCCCTTGATCATATTGGCAACAGTCAGAATTAGTTCAGATAGTGTTCCTTGGTCAACTTTGAGGAATTCTTGGTCCCAAACAGGAATATCATATGTTCGCTTCTCTTTGTTCTCATCATCCTCAGGAGGAGGAAGGTCATCCTTGTGGTGGGTGCAGCACTGAATGACCTTTTTTAATATTGCTGCGTTAACATTTGGTAGTGGAACTGGGTCATCGTCGCCTTCATCATCCATTCCTAGATCTTTTAACATGGTCTTGATAGTCACAGATTGTTTGGCAATTTCAACATCAACTTCAAATATCTCTCCATCAGAACTCTGCAATTTAATTGAAGGCATGGTGCTCGGTCTCAAGGAGAGAGCGGGCCGGAGGCTGACGAGAGCCGGGCAGCGTCAGCAGAACCAAAAGGAAAAAGCTGGAGAACAAGGCCACTTACCCACATGCGTTTTTTAATTCTGATGTTTAGTTGGGGAGGCTGAAGTTCTGAAGAGGGGTTAATAGATTAACAGAACTGTAGCGCTGAGAGATAGTGGAAAAATTAAAAACCTAACAAGACATGGCAATTACTGGCTCTGAGTGCTCTACCCAGAGGGATGAGTGAGGAGGAAGGGTGAGAGTAGGTAAAGTGTAGTATGTTACCCATGATCTTAGATTCTATTAAAAGGTCATCTCAGGGTGATGGGAACCATGAAGGTACAAGCCATCAGATCTTTTTTGTTTTGTTTTGTTAATCCTCACCTGAGGATATTTTTCCATTGATTTTTAGGGAGAGTAGAAGGGAGAGGGAAAGATAGGGAGAAACATTGATGTGTTTCACATCAATTGGTTGCCTCTTTCATGACCGCCCCGCCCCCCCTCCCCGCCCCCCCGCCCCCTTTCCCTGGGCCTGGGCCGGAGAGGAGCCTGCAACCAAGATACGTGCCATTGATTGGAATTGAAGTGGAACACTTTGGTCTGTAGGTGGACACTCTATCCACTGAGCCAAACCGGCTAGGGCCAAACCATCAGATCTTAAGGGAGGGAATAACAACTCTTGCCTATAGATGTAGTCATAGGATTATACTTGTATCCTAAAGGGCAACTTTTAAAGTGCTCCAACTTAAGCTGATGGGGTCATTAGTTTATTGATATCATTAGCAACCACTTTTATTGAGCAGTGTTTTTAAACTAATGGGCATGGGATACTTTTCAGTTTATGCCTTTATGATACACTACAGCAGTAGTTCTCAACCTTCCTAATGCCGTGACCCTTTAATACAGTTCCTCATGTTGTGGTGACCCCCAATTTCATTGTTACAAATTGAACATAATTAAAGCATAGTGATTAATCACAAAAACAATATGTAATTATATATGTGTTTTCCGATGGTCTTAGGTGACCCTTGTGAAAGGGTCGTTTGACCCCCAAAGGGGTCGTGACCCACAGGTTGAGAACTGCTGTACTAGAGGCCTGGTGCATGAAATTTGTGCGCCGGTACGGTCCTAGGCCTGGCCTGTGATCAGGGCCATCTTCCAATTATAGGAGTCTTTAAACATCACAGGATGGATTTCATACTCTGAAAATGCTTTGCTTCAATAATTTGAAAGAAAAAATGTGAAAGACAATATAAAGAATGACTGTTTGAAGTGTTTCTACCAGAAAATCCTATCCATTGGTGAGATTGAAACTGCTCTTTGGTAGGGAAAAGACTGAGAGGATCTCTTGTTCAGAATGCAAGAGAAGAGATGAAGTACCTATGTCTCCAGAGAACTCTGCATTGAGCTTTAATGAAGGAGGGGGAAATTCCTTACTGTGGTCTTGTATAATGTAAAAATCTTCATATGAGCCTCAGCAGATGTAGAGTCTCCAAGGGGGAGATTGTGGCTAGTTCAAGCAGCTTGGGTTCAGTAAGCCTCCAGTAGGAGTACAAGACAGATGGCTCACTGACATTTCTACTTCAGGACAACCAGTTTTAAGTGGAAAGCTACCAGATCTACTTCACTTTTGCAAGAATCCTGAATGATCCCTTTACACTATGGACTGAGGTGACTACTTGTCTCTATTAAAGTTACAGAGGAGACCCGACAGGCTTTAATTGGAACTTACTTATGGTTTCCCAGAAACAAAGCTCATATTCTATTAAAGCACTTTAGAAAAATAAAGTAGAACTAGAGATAAGAAAATCTTTCATTTTCAAGAACCGTTTTTAAAAATCGGGGTGAAATTCATATAACAGAATTAATCATTTTAAAGTGAACAATTTAGTGGCAATTATTTCATTCATAATGTTGTACAACCACCACCTCTATGTAGTTCATTTTCTTCACCTCCAAAAGGAAAGCCTATATCCATTAAGTAGTTGCTTCCACTTCTCCCTTCCCTGCAAACCCTGACAATCACCAATCTGCATTCTGTCTCGATGGATTTACCTGTTCTGGATATTTAATATAAATATAATAATTATTTATATAATTATATCTATATAAATAATTTGTATCTAGCTTCTTTGACTTAACATAGTGTTTTCAAGGTTCTAGCTTTTGTATCTAGCTTCTTTGACTCTTTGACTTAACATAGTGTTTTCAAGGTTCATCCACATTATAGCATGAATCTGTACTTTATTCCTTTTTATGGCTGAATAATATTCTATTGTGTTTATATACCAGTTTGTTTTTCCATTCATCCACTGATGGGCATTTGGACTGTTTTACTTTTTGGCTATTGTTAATGGGGCTGTTAGGAATATTTGTGTATGTGTATTTGAGTACTTATTTTCAAATTTTTTGAATTATATGCCTAGGAGTGGAATTACTAGATCATATTGTTACTTACTCTATGTTTAACTTTTTGAGGAACTGCCACAAAGGTTTTCCACAATGGCTGAACCATTTTACAGTCCTAACAGCAATGTGTGAGGTTTCTAGTTTCCCCACATTCTCACCAACAATTGTGATTTAACAGTTTTTAAAATTATAGCTTCAAAATCTTTTGAGACTGGATAGAACTATGATGATAAAACCTTTTCCAGTCCTTATGGATCTCCTACGATGCTTCTCTTGAAGTAGCTACATGGCTCTTCTAGGCCAAGTAAGGCATTGCGGTTTAGCTTTGTGCTGAAGAATGACTTTCTTGAAAAATCTGAAGCAAACATAGTCATCACAACTGATATGGGTTGCCTATATAGAGCTGAAATCTGATTTGCCAAAAAAAGAGTGTCGGTTACATTTTGGGTCTTGAGAGTAGATGGTGGTATTTCAGGTTTCATCTCCCATTAGAATCCTGACCAGGCAGTGGTCTGGGTCTTGCTGACTATACAGGAGGTTCAGTTTGTTTGCAGATTGCCAGTTTACTTTCCTACTTGCTGAATAACTTTCTAAAAAGGGAGTTAACTCTAATTTCTGAGTAACTGGTTCTTTTAAAGATGTAATATAGCCCTGACTGGTTTGGCTCAGTGGATAGAGCGTCGGCCTGCGGACCGAAGGTTCCTGGGTTCGATTCCAGTCAAGGGCATGTACCTTGGTTGCGGACATATCCCCAGTGGCGGGGGTGTGTGCAGGAGGCAGCTGATCGATGTTCCTCTCTCATCGATATTTCTAACTCTCTATCCCCCTCCCTTCCTCGCTGTAAAAAAATCAATAAAAAGAAAATATATTTTTAAAGATGTTATATAAACTAAAACTAGTTTTAGTTGTTATTCCATTACTACTTATATGAGATTACATACAGACACTAAAACTCTAGTGTTCCCCCTTTTCTTTTTCTTTGTGGCTATCTGGCAGGATAGTTTCTTATTTTGATGTCTCTGCATCAAATTATTGAGTTCCTAAATGTCTTTTTCTTACCTTCTCTTTTTTAGGCCATCAATTTCTACTTCTTGTGTCTATATATTGTGATTTATCTAATAGTAGTCACTATTGTTAATATTTTAGTATGCCTTATCTACATTTATTTTTGATATACTACAGCAGTGGTGACAATTACTTTATTCTTGTGGAAGGAGAAAATTGATGCTGGGATATGAGATACTTAAATTTCTAGTTCTTTCTGTTGTCTCTACTAATCTAGTTTTTCTTTTTTTCTCAACACTGCTTTCTCTAGTTTATGTGTTGAGTGGTTGATTTTTCTGACTTCTAGTAAATTTTTTTTGTTACTGTACTGTTTGCTGTGTTATTTCTTTATAATATTTTATGTCAATAAGTTTCAGTGTTTATTGCTTCCATTGGTTTCTTTTTTTTAAAAAATGAGTTTGGATCACTTTTCAAAGTAAACAAAAAATTGTAGTCTCTACTGTATCTTCCCCTCACCCCCACCACACACTAGGTTTATAAATGCATCCTCACCATTTGATCAAAGTCAGGCTTTGAATAAGGCGTGGTTGAATGACATGAATGTCTGGATTTGGTCTTGAGAGATTTGGGGATGTACAAGTGTGAGGGTTTCTCTCTCTCTCTCTCTTTCTCTCTCTCTCTCTCCTCCAATAATGTACTGTGGTTGAGTTGTAACATTTATTAAACCACTCCTCACATTGCCTGTTTTCAAAGCTTATCAGGATGACTTTGATTTAGTTATTTGGAACCAAAAAGGCAGTTGTAGAGCCTGGTCTGGAGTTGTGGAGCAGTAATATATCAAAGATCAGACTTAGGTCCCAGTGGGATTATTCCTCAAGATTTATTTGCCTGGATGTACACACAGGAGCCAAATAGTATGTATGGGAAGCTTTGCTGGAATGTAAATTGGACACATTTGTTGGAACCTGCAGGGGATTTTCGCTGTTTCATAATTTTTCAAAGGTTTGTTATACATCAGACAGTCACTGCCTCTTCTTTAAATCTTTAAATCCCCCTTCTTTTTCCTGTTGTAAAGGTCAGATTTTTTTTGACAACTGTGTGCAGGAACAAGATTTGCTAAATCCCTTCATTTTTATTCATACAAATATCAGCATTCAGTGAGCATCAGTTATCCCAGCATTTAGAGGTAAGGAAAACTCAGGGAAAATCTTGTGAATCTCAGCTTAGTGCCAGGCATATATCTCTGGGAATAAGTTTGCTGCCTCAACTTTAACCCGTGACTGCTCTGGTATGGGACAACACCCTCACAGTGGCTAGCATGTGAAGCCTACTTGTACTACTAACCTCATGTCTATGGCTGTAAGGTAGATGATATAATTAGTGGGAGGGAGCTATGTTGGACTCTTCTGATGCCAATCCTTAGATTAGTGTTGAAGGAGAAGGACAATTAATTCCCTCCAGTAGAGCCCCTTTAGCCTTACTTAGCTTTTAGTGGTATCTTGGGCAGCAGACTATTTTTAATTTGAAGATGATTTTTTTTTTCACCCAGTAGATGAAATCATGATATTATAATATACTACAGTTTTCCATCAAACTATTTAGGTTGAGGTCTTGTTATCTATTGCTATATAACAAAATACTCTAAACTTATCTGC